AGAGTAAATATAGACAAAGCCCTTAGAAAACTGTCACCATGTCAGTGCTACAGGATCACTCAATTAGAAAATCTAGAAAAACATGCAGAGATTTAACAGTTGTTACTTCAGAAGCAGACCTTGGTCTGGTGTGGGAGAGGAAAAGAAAGAAGGTCAGATTTCAGTGTAAACCCTTTTATGCCTTTTGAGTTTGTACATTTCTTCTTCTTGTTTTTACTATGGTTTTTAAAACTAACCCTCCAAAATAGTAGTATAACATTGAAACAGGACTTAAAGAAAAATAAGTCCTTCCCAGCAATGGTCACTTCCCTCCACTCTTGGCACCTCTCTCTCCTGTAGCTCTTATTCCTTGTTGTGGAACAAAGAAAATTAATAACTATGTCCTGTAAATAAAGTTCATGACACCGTGTTCTCATATGATTGATAAGACACTGTTTTCTTTCAACACACAGCTATAAAACTGTCTGCTCTTGTTCTGTTCCAGTGCACTCATAGCTACATCATTACAAAAACTAAGGTGAGCATGGTGGTGCAATCTGTATTCCCTGCACTCAGGAGGCTGAGGCAGGAGGATTACCAGGAGTTCAAGGCCTGCCTGGGCTACATAGTGAATTCAGGGCCAGCCTGAACTACAAAGGGAAACCTTTCCTCCAAAAACAAAAGCAAACAAACAAACATAGAAAAAAGAACTACTCTCTTTGACAAAAATCTATAAAAACTGGAACTTGTCTTAGTCCAGTGCTCAGCCATTTTTTACAGAGTGTCCACTGAGCTTGTATATACACCTCAAATAAATCCTCCTGATTCCTATTAGATCTCCCTTTTCCTTTGGAATATTGACACATTTCTTGTGGCCCTGAAGGGAATGGAGATGTAAGAGGTGCTGTCTCCTTTGCCTGCAGTCCTGAGAGGGCCCTAAACTGTGGAAATCCTGAGATATCTGGTGCCACCAGGTGAGACTACAGTTCAGAGGGTGAATCAGCCTTCACATTCCTGAAAGCCCCCTGCCAATGCAATGGAACTCAGAATGATTCTGGAACAACAGGATGGTGGTAAGGTAATGAGGCCCAGGGGATACCTGTTACATGAGGATAGAAAGGGACACTAATCATCTCCTTGGGTGTACCAAATACTCTGACTCAGGGAGAGTAGGACAAAACTGATAAGCCCAGGTGGAAAGTGGGGTTGGCCTGCCATGGGAATTGCTGTCTAATAACTCATAGCATAGGCCCACAAGCAGAGTGACTTGCAAAGGAGGTGTGGCAAGTAGTCAGACTCAGGGAGAGTCAGATGAACTCGTACCCAGGTGTACTTAGTAGCCAGACTCTGGGGGAGTTAGGCAAAACCTACACCCAGGCTAAAAAACATGAGATAGGATATGTGTATCCGTGTGAATGAACAAAATAAAGTGTGAGTCCAGAGGGTGCGAGAAAAGTATATAATTGTGTGTAAATGAGTGGAGTAAAGGGTGTGAGTCCAAGGTCAGCTGAGCTCAACGAAAGGTCAGATAGCTGGGTTTTATAGTAATTGTAGGGAAATGTCAACTGGGCACTGAATGAAAAGATGTCTGTGGCCTCCCAAACCAGACTACCAGATGCCTGATAAGAGAGTTCCTGGGGCCAGCAGATTCCTGCCTTTTTAAGATCCCTAAATTCTCACTCAGGGCTAAGCCCTTGCATAAAACTACCAAAGAGGGAGAAAAGGAGGCCTCCTCTGGGAAGCTGAACAAGAGAGGACATTTAAACAAATCAAAGAACCTTAACCCAATCTCCAGCCCTGGGGCTGCCAGACATAATCAAGCCTCTCTTCCTGTATGTATACAAACCAAAGGAAATTGCCATAGGAGTCCTGGCACAAGTTGTAGGATCCTGGCATTGCCCAGTGGTGTATTTGTCAAAACACAGAGACTTTGTGGCCTTGATGTGGCCTCCATGCTTTGAAGTGGTTGTTGCCACTGCCTTGCTGATGCAGGAAGTTGATAAGCTGACTCTGTTGATAAGCAACTGTTTATCCAAATGCCACTTTCCAACTGTGACTCAATTTTCCCTATTTAACATGCACAACCCTGAGTTCACCAGGGGGCAGCAAGCAATAGACTGAGAGGGCAGCTGCTGTGGTTTAGCCTGGCCAGTCTGAAATTCTAGGAGCTGCTTTCCCTTGAACATCTTCAAAGATACAAGGAGACAAGACCAAAATCAAATGTACAGCAATAAATATTTTTCTATAAAGGCCAACAAGTGGTCTCAGCCTCAGTTCCAGAACTCATCCTTAAACCAGTGCTTAGGGGACGGTAGGCGGTAGGTCATGAATGTGTGCCTAAGGACCTGTTCCTTACATGGTTTGACGAGGGAATGAGAGATTCACAACTGTGCCTTTGCACATTGGAGGAAAGACAGATTAGATCTCTCCCAGAAATACTGGGGCCTGGTGTTTGCCTCTGTCCCACATAAGAGAGGAGAAACTATGGTTTGCTCAGCCAGGAATTCCCACAAAGGCAGTTAGGAATGTTTCTGGGCTGGCCTGATGGCCTGTGTGCTGTTACTGTCTCAGAACATCCTGACCCAGAATGTCCGTGACACTGTTTAATCCTTCAGCTATACTTCTTTTAGTAACCTGAGTTTTATTTCCCCATTTGCACTGACTCTTCCCTGTGCAGAATTGTGTTTGAGCTTGTGTGCTAGGTCAGAATCCCCTCCTGCTTGGATCCCTGTACTCCTGTCCCAGAGCCAATCCTTCATAGGATGTATCTTCCCATAAAGACAGTTGAAATGGTATCTTTGCAAAATTATTTCCTCGTTCCATTAAAGCATAATTGGTGTGTTTTTATTTGTCTTTTCATCAGGAGTCACCAGTGTATCTCATTTAAATGATGATTAAACTCAATAGTTGAGATTCCAGTTACAATCACTGTAGCACACATTCACACAGGACGTCCTTGAACAGCTGAGCTTAGGCCCCAGAAGATTTGAGGCAGTGATTAACTCTTTCAAGTTTGCTTGTATTTTCCCAGTTTCAGTAGTGACATTGTCAAATTCAGCAGCAACCTCATTCCAAGGCCAGCTAGTCACACATTAAAGTCAATTTAATTTCAAATCTTATTCAATCACTTTTGTAAAAATTGTTCTGATTTTCTCCATTTTACCACAAAAATCAGTCAATATTGTACTGCTCTTAATGTCTAGGCTGGATAATGACACATGGTGATCCCATGAGTACCTGGTTGCCAGCACCAGAGCGAAGGGGCCTTGACTGTCAGAGGCATAGAATCATGTGCTGAGCCACAGGCTGGTCAGTGGCTGGCCTGCCCATGAGCTGTGTCAGTGTACAGACAAGCAGCATGGTGCAGAGAGGTCTCTTTTCAGGTTTTCATTCTTGGCATCTGCTCTTATACCTGCTGCCTGACTGTTAGAGCACGACCAGGATTCCCTATGGAAAATCTGGTTTGCTGCACAAGGGCAGGTACCTCCCAGTGCCTACTGCATGTTTTTGCATTTCAAGGTGATGCCAACATTTTCCCCTTAGGAGATTTTTTTTTGTAACTGGCAGCTATAAATCAGAAACGAGGAGGTAAATGTAGAACGAACATAATCCCTCCAGTATTCTTGAGTATTCTCATCTACCATAATCCTTTATGTTGTTTATGCAGAGAGTCAAGCTTGAAGAATAGCCACCTTCATTTTCTAAAATAATTAAACTCTGTATGTGTGTGTGTGTGTGCGTGTGTGTGTGTAAAGGAAAAGAAAAAGGAAGTTCACTTTTTATAGAGCTTATTTGAAATGTTTTTTGATGCTATTCTGAAAATATCAGCCGTTGTTTTACTCTTAGTGTAATAAGAGTCTCAACACCTAAGGACAATTCCCATTCACACAACTCTAGGATATCTGAGTTAGACACTGCACATATTCACATAGCACATAGCAGTTTTCTATGTATTTTATTTGTTTGAAAAATAACTGTGTTTGTTCAAGGAAACATCTACTTTAATTGTGTTTGAGGAGGGTGTTGGAATTGGTCATCACATATTTTAAATTAATTTGCTCTGGTTTTACCCGTTATTAGTTATATTTTGCGCAAATGACACTTTTGCCTTCACATCAGCATCACTCATGGTTTTTATTTCTTTTCAATCTAATTTTGAGGACACACATGTGTAGAACAATTTTTAAACTGAATGATTATTTCAATTACATAAGTTGGGGGCCCTAAAACAACAAGAACAGAGGACAACGCATCTATTTATAAAGGCAAACATTTTTCTTCTTGCAAAAATTGCCTGGATATCTACAGTGTTCCCAGGGGGCAGTTCTCAATGATGAGATTCCCAAGAATCCCTGGCTCTCTCCATGTATACACACTGAGCTTGGCTGTTTTCTGAGAATGACTTTAACCTGTATCCCTAAGAGAGTACTTACATGGTGTGTGTCTCAGATCTGTCAAGCCCAGGTGAGTGCATTTCTAGGATCCTGAACAATGTACCCACAGTGCTATACTGTGGCTCCAGTCTCAGACCAGTGGAAAGAGAGAACAGGTGCTGAATGAGGACAAACTCAGTGTGAGGGGAAACCTAAGGGGCTAGGGAAGAATGCGCAACACTTCTCTGCATTTCATCCTTTTGAAAGAAGAGTGATTTTGTGTCTCTCAGCCACGCAGAGACTATGTCCTCACTCTCATTCCATGTGGTAGGCAAAGGACGTCCTCAGACAATTTAGCTAAGGACAACTGAGAATACACTAATAAAGGTACAGGCACAAAGGTTGTCTTCATTTGCTGGGTGCTGTCATGGACTCATTATGCACTGAGTAAAAATTATGTGACAAGGAAATTTCATCCAGGCTGGGCCTGCTGCCCAGGGATACAGAACTATGCAGAGGTCAGGGCAGGCCAGACTAGATTGAGAAGAGGTGGGTGCAGGAAACACATTTGCATAAACTCCTCCCTCTTTTGAGGCAGCAGAAGGATAAGAGGTCTGGGGATCTCTGCAGACCCAGTGCTGCAGTGTCAGGAGGCAGCACCCTTGGGGCAGCACAACATGACCTGGGCTCTGCTCCTGCTTATGTTCCTCACTGAGGGCACAGGTGAGGACATATGGAAAGGGACCATAGGACATGGGGCCTGAGATCATTTCTTTTCCTCAGGAGTCAACTGGGCACAGATCTGACTTAGCAAATTGAGTTTCTCTCTTTTCAGGGACCTGGGCCCAGTCTGCTCTGACTCAGCCTCCCACAGCCTCTGGGTCTCTTGGAGAGGAGGTCACCATCTCCTGTATTGGAACCAGCAGTGATATAGGGAGCTATAATGCTGTCTCCTGGTACCAACAGCTGCAAGGAACATCCCCCAAACTTCTGATATATGATGTCAGCAGTCGGCCTTCAGGGATCCCTGATCGCTTCTCTGGCTCCAAGTCTGGCAACACGGCATCCCTGAGCATCGCTAGACTCCAGGCTGAGGACGAGGCTGATTATTACTGCTGTTCATATAGGAGTGGTGGCACTAAGCACAGTGACTCAAGTTCATGGAGAAGTGAGATCAAAACCTGCACTGAGCTTCTAAGTTCCTCCATGCTCTGAAGATGTTTCCTCAGCCCTGTACAGAGGGCGCTCATGCTACGTAGACCAGAATTCGGTTTCTTTGAGTTCTTCTCCTCTGCCACAGTGAAGGAATAAAGAAAATACATTCTCTGGTTTATGTCTTGGAGGTATGAAAGCAGCCTCTGGTTTGAGTTTTGTGGCCTCAGCTGTTGTGAATGTCTCTCATTCTTCACTGGGGCAAGAGGAGGTTCAAGTCCATACCTGTAGGTGCAGTTTCTTCAGTTCGACAAATAACCTCACTGTAAACATTTCCATTTCTGTGACTGCTCTATCCAGTCTTCATTTGCTCTTCCATTAATGATATCTCATTCTATTCACATCTAACATGGCCTTGAACATCTTGCAGGATCCTTAGGTAGATTATTTTTCTGCTAGGCGTTTGTTGAAGGAGGAGCCAATCAGATTTTTCATGAAGTTTCAAAGGGAATGTGACCGAGGTGGTTTTGGATCACTGTCTCTTGTTTTCTTTGTACCCCATGTATAGGAATCTGACCATGTGAGAATGTGAGTGGAATATCTGTGTTATACACAAAATCTCCTGTCCTCTCCCCAACCCTGAGTTCAGTGGACTCTTGTCCTGGAAATAGTCCAGCTGGAGAGTATGGGCTCTTATCTAAATGGTTCCTTTTTTCCATAGAGGAAGAGATAATTGGTGGATGTTTAATCCCATTCCTTGGGGATTTTTTATTTTGAATGCATATGATTGCCATGCCATGACAGCCTAATTACTAGGGGGAATCTTATTTATAATAAATCTAATTACATACATAAATGATCCTTCATTTACAATGGGGTTACATCCTGACAAACCCATCATACAATACACTGAAAATATCATGAGTCAAAAGTGCATTTCATGCACCTAACCTACACAACATCACAGCTTGGCATTACCAGATACTGTCCAGGTTGTGTCCTCTTTATGTTGTTGGACTGACCGACTTCTGCAAAGAAGAGCTGTAGTATCATCTTCATCACTCTCTTCAAAATCTTCATTTCCTCATCTGTTAGAGGATCATCTGCATCAAGGCTGGCAGTAGGAATCTGGTCTAACTGAGGCTTCTTTGATACTGAAGAGGAGTTGTGTGTTCTCTTGTTGGACGATCCCTATTTTTTCTCTTGCAGCTGCTCTCTCTGTCTTCCAATTCTCTCCTAAAGTTGTGACTCCAAGCCTCTTCAGGACCATCCTGAGTACTTTGTCCATGTTTTAGCTTTGTATGAGAAGGGAGGTTGCTCCTTGAATAAGGCTTTGAGAGTTGTGTCAACTCACCTTCTCCTTTTCTTCTTGCACCTCTTGCAGGTTCAAAAGTTTGTCTACCTGCTGTTGTCATTTTTTATGATCTGAAAAAAGTTGTTCTTTCCAGTAAACTCTCATTTCATAAATTACTCATCAATGTCTACCCTTAAGGAAAAACTTCCAAAACTCATTTCACAGAAGTTTTCAAACAATCTTCTTCAAAAATTCTCAAGGAAACAAAGTATGAGGCTCACGGTGTACATGGAATATGGTTTCTCAGGTAGCTCTTCTTCAGAACAAAATAGTTTGGCATAAAGACCTGAGTTGGTGTTTCTTCTGGGGTTGTGTTGCCTTGTCCCCTCTGTCACCTGTGAAATAGGACTAGACTACATTATGAAATTTACGAGACATAACATGTCAAAGTCCATATAAAATACACAACTGCCTGGCTTAAGTCTTAAAAACTCTCAACCATATTCTACAAAATTCTCTAAGACTTGCATTTCATCTAAACCTCAAAAAGAGCAAATAGACTAATAAAAACAAAATAATTTTCTCAGTGTTTTGGAGATAAGTGCTACAATTCAATGAGAGTTACGTGGGCGAAATGCTCCAGCAATCTTTTGTTGATCCACTTTTCCCCTTTAACAGCTAGCATAATAGAAATCAGACCTCATACAGTGTATCAGTTTGTGCTTCCTAGAGAAACAGATTTAATGCAAGATATGCAAAAGGGCTGTCTGTGTGCTGGAGATGGGTAGGGTCCAGTGAGGGCCTGGAGCTCAGTGCAGTGTCCTGTGGGCGTCCACATCAGGAGGCTGAAGGGTCTGTGCTGGAAGCCAGGAAACCCAAATCCAAGGTAAGACTCCAGCTCCTCCAAACAAACAAACCTCAGCCAAGGAGGGAGGGACTTCTATCTTCAGGAAATCCCTTCAGCAACAGCCAAAACTATGCCAATTCAATTTCCTCAGACATTTCTTATTCAAGTTGACACAATCATTTAACTGTCAATATGGGTTTTATTTAATTTCCGTACATTCATATTTATATACACATATATTTCTGTATGTTCAGAAAACAGGAACCTCAAACCCACAGTATACTAAAAATAGGGAACTCATTCTTTATGTGACATTCACGGTTGAGCAACCAAAACAATTTTGCCTGGACTATGTAGCTTCTAAATTCTGTTACTGTCAGGATAAAAAAGTGAATGTAATAGGAGAGAGATGAGAATTTTTTTCTTTTCTTCCCTCTCCTTCCCATTCCCCTCATCTTTCCCTTCATCTTCTTCTCCTCTTTCTTTTGAAATCTTTGTCTCTTAATTATCAGAAAGGGTAACGCCATGTATCCAGGGGGGAAGCAGGGCTTTCTCCTGCTAGGGCACTGTAGTCTCCCATGGCATTACCACTTCTCATTCTGGGAGCTGGTCTACTATCTCGAA